GAAAGGAGAACTACTGAAGACAATATGACACGCAGCAAGTGCTGAGGGTACGATGCATAATGACGAGTGGTCCCGCTTGTTAGATAGCCTACGTTTTTACACGGGGGAAAATTCTTCTGGAACTGAAAGAGCTCTGGTATTTCTATATTAATGGCAAAAACAGTGATTAAATGTTCATGGTTGACTGTGGAAGACCTTTTGAAGTAGATACACGCACGTGTGAGTGCAACTATTGAACGTTTGTGATGAGCCAATATCTCTGCCGTCATATCCTTCGGACATACATACAAAACGAACTCCTGCAGGTAAGGCCACTTGATTACAAAGTAAAAAGCGCATGGGTAATCATATTCTTAAACAGTAAGCTGGATGGCAGCTAGTTGACACAAATAACTCCCATAATAACACAGGGGATTGGAATCCAATGCGAAGCACATATCTATGGATTGTACAAAAAGAGATGATTTACATACATTGTATTGCGGATGGATACAGTGAGAGGTAAGCGATGAAATGCGACAGAATAGTCGTCAATTATTACTTCATAAACATCATTAACTAGGTAAGACTCCACTTCCCTCAAGGCTTATTTCTGTGTGATATTGTTTTTACACTAGTAAACGTGGCTCGGAATACAAGAAAGTGTAAAGTGACAGGAACTATCAGAAGTCTTTTTTGGTTGTATTTTCAACCTTAACTATTTATACTTCTTGAAGACTTATTTTTCTATATCAAATGTAGTTCTTGCCTGAATGATATGTCAACAGACTTCTCCGCAAATGTTATTTTTGTCAGTGCTTCGTGAAGAAGTGTGGTTAGAAAGTTCATGAGTAACTGCTTGAGACACTTGGGAATAACCAAATGCTCGCTTCTTAAGAAATCGTTTCGTTATGAGAACTTACAAATAAGTGAGAAGCGATTTTGGCAAACAGTAAATGTGATTTATTATGCAAAATAATGCAAACTTTCATCGAGTTTAAACAGGATCTGGGGCTCTACGTCTCTTTGTTTGTACTACGCTTCTTCCAAAAACTTAAAACATTGGGTAAATTTGTTATATATATATATATATATATATATATATATATATATATATATATATATATATATATAAACGATTCATGTGTTCAATATCGAACACAATGGTTATCAACCTGTACATTTTACACACATTTTCAGCTCCATACAGTAGAGCTGTCTTGTGTAATTCTGTTTGTAGCTCTTCTACGATTACTAACGTTCTCAAGTTCTGGTAAAGAACGAGTATTGGGAATAGAGTCAGCAACCACAGCCCGTAGAAAACAATATTGCTAGTAAACGTCTACTAGAATGTACAAACTGAACTTCGTGCAGTGTGTTAAATTCAACACGTAAATAGAATATCAGCGTAACACGTGTAATCAGCAGTCACTGCAAGGCGGAGAAGACCTGAAACCACAACACCAGGAGAGAACACGGAATGAAAGCCACGAGTCCTTTACTTGAAAATTGAAATTCGCGGGCCACGTGCAGAAAGAATGTCTAGTTTACAAAATAGTCTTATGAGTCATCTTGTAAGTTCAGTGCACATAGAGCTCGCCCTTCCTCCAGAGCGTTTATCCTTGTTCACCCTGTAATAGAAAGAAAACAGAATCCATTAACAACATCATACACGGTGGTTTCAATCGAGTTACATCAGTCTTATTTGTTTTCCGCGCCGTCGGATGAAATACAGCATGTTCATAAATTGTGCCGCATTCATTATCCAATGTCCTTGTCACGAACATTTATGTCCATAATAATCGGCAATATAATGTTAGTGTTAATGAGTCTCGTGATGAATCTAACGGAAATGGGTTTGAAAATTAATTTGTATTTAGGAAGAATTTTATATTTATATTCGACTAACGTATCAGTGCTACCAATCAGTGGTTCATACCATTCAAATTGTGCGCAAAGATTATGGGTAAAAAGGCTTTATGTTCTTCTGTGAACTCAAATAGTTTTTTGTGTGTGAATCCACAATTGTACTCGAAACTAAGTAGTATGGCTACACGTTTTCTTAAAGAATTAGAAAAGTCTCGCGGTGCTGTGACTTGGAATCAGAATAAAGACGACGGTGCATCACTTAAAGAATCCATGATTTTCCATAATTATTTGGAAAATGATACATTAGCGAATTGTGAAGGTTTTGATTTAGGATATAAGCCATGGTGTGCTTGAAAGCGCTGAGGGGTATGAGTTAACTACTGACAATATTATTGTTTGTTTACTATGTTTGAAAATCATGCTAATACTGTTAGCAATCTCAAGGTTGGAGACAACAAGAATATATGTTCCTAGTGAAGAAGACCTAAGAATGTGTCTCGACAAAGCGATAACGTCGAAAAGTTTGGAAGAGTTATCAGTAAACAAAGGCATTAGTAGCTTGACATTTTATTTGGGACTACATATTCATGTTTACGTTACCTTGTATGGATGATGGAGCATCTTGTTAAGGGGTTCATTTTGTAGTTGTTTATGTTGACGACTCTGACGTCAAGGTTAACAGTGAAATACTCTATCATGGAAAGTATTGAAATGGGTAAGGAAATAAGGGACATTTCTTTACAGATGTGACTGCTTAGGCTCGAGATGTTACATTGGACGTTATTAGACCTGATTCTAATTGTAGTATTTGGGGAGGGGTTTAGAGTACTTTATCGCATAAAACAAATGTCAAGAGGGAGGTGGATCCTTTCGTGGTACATGGATTATTATGGGTTGGCGGTCACCTTCGAAACATTTTCTGGTCTGAATTAAGAAACCGTTCTGTTATGTTGTCGGTGCACACGATTACGAATTCGGTATTTCAGTATTATCGGAGGATAAGAGATCTTGCTACTCGGGCGATCCGATAAAGGTGTTAGCTGTTACTGCTGAGAGAGAACTTAACAGGGCTCAGCAATACTCGATCTAACGATAGGTATTCTAAGAGATGTAAGCAAGAGAATTATTTGGTGCAAGTATTTTGGAGACGTTTTTCTAAAGATTATGTTTCTCTGCTGTAACGTATATTTAAATGGAACACAAGAGAGAGTGATTGGATGATGTTGTGTTCTGATTTTTTAGAGGAAGGCGAATGGCCATTAGGTCCAGTAGAGGAAGAGATACCTAGTAATGATAGACTGAGACCGATGTAGTTGAGGACAAGAGAAGGAATTTTAATAAGAGATATTCAAAAACTGTATCTTGAGGATATAGATGTTAGGTAGATATTCGGATCCCTAGGCGTACTTTTGAGGTCCCAGGGGTCACAAGATTGTTGGTATTTCGAATGTTTGTTGTTGGTTGCTTGTGATGCATTTAATTTCCTCTTGCTACTTATTTATTTGTCCGTCAGTGGAGCAAAGGTTCTATTGATCGGTAGTGTCACAGGAGAACTGAAGGTATTTGACTGATTGAAACTAATGGTTTACTTTGTGCTTCATGTGATCTACAGGTGTAATGTTGGAGTCTCCAGCTAGTGGCATTTAGTCTAATCCTAGCTGTGGTGGCTGTAATGTTGCTTGAATTATCTTAACTTTCGAGAGAAGTAGTGTCTAAGAATATCAAGCAATAGGAGCAGCTAGGTCGTAATAACATAAATTATAACAAGCATTTAGACCATTGAGGTGGTGTCTAGTGTTTTACATTTGTAACGTCAGTCTATTCGTTATATTACCCATCTTGTAATGTCATTGCTAAGTAACACTCGACATAACCGAAATTTGCTGGCCATGGCTTCTCACTAGAACTTGGGGGAATAACTACTCGAAGTTTGTAACTAATGCGTGTAAGGGACTAGGATAAAGCAGTTGTCAAGTTTTTTCTTAGTTTCCAATGTTTATCTAAGGCCATTTAGTGATTTTAACGACAATAAATCCTACAATCTCTGTAAACCTTACACTAACAGTACATTCATCGAGCATTTCAATAATCGATTTAGTTTCGCCACTAATCGATTTGTTTATGTTAGTTATGATTCACATCATTTTTCAGTTAAACTGAATCCATAAGGTAAACTATCCTGTCCTTAACTTTGTATTTAAAGCTTAGAACATTTTACTTTATCCGACTCATTATCACTAATTGTTCAATGAATCATACATATGTATATTGACAGTAATCTACTGATCATAATTATTTTTATCTAAATTTAACTTTAGATTGATGATTGGGAGAATTGGTCATAAAAATATAATTAATCCCATAATATTACATTGCTTGTTAGTTGCAGCGATTCATACTATTATTAACTAATTTTGTTGTTTCTTTTTATTGTAAACTGACATTAATCTGTGTGATAGATAACAATAATGACTATAGCAGTTAGTTAAAAAATCAATAAAATAATGTGAAGATTCTGTTCTTGATCACAAGAAAACTGACAACAAAATAGCCTAAAACGACCCATCATTTTTATGAAGCATGGGTACGATTCTGCAATAGATGAATGATAATGATGTTTACGCTTACTATATTTTAGAAATCTTGTTTATTTTTTCAATTGTACTTTTCTATATCTAACCATATGAATGATGAATTTTTTTTATTTCTCAAACTTTGTCGTCTGCCAAAAGTTAATTGATTTTGAATTTATTTTACTATTTTAGTTGGTTGTAGTAAATTGTCAATTTATCGAGCTATTACACTGTCATCATCATATTACTTAGATGTCATGATTTTATCCTTTAAGAAATCTATTTCATCGATCAATTTTTTTTCCCAAAAATAAATTATTTCTTACAAGCGATTGAAATTATTACAAAGAACAATTGTTTGTTGAATAGAAGTGTATATATCGCCTTGCACACTGTTGCATGTGCATGTAGCAATCATTTCTATTATATGAATAAAATCAACAATACACAGACATTTACATTAAAAATTTTCGACAGTAACACTGTTCAGAAAGGAAAAATAGTTTAAAGGAACAAAATTGTGTTCTATAAGATTAGGATCAATTAATCTACAGACCTATCACCAGTCGACAACAATAATTAGATTAAATTCTCCGATGAATCACTATAAAAATGATTAAAATCTATCCGTAACAATAACTGATTTAAATCTGTTTTTTCTGAATAAAGAGGACGGTTGGTAGTAGCAGTAGTAGTAATAATACCAGGTAACGATAATGATTCGAAGTCCCGACGATTATTAACAGCGGTATGGCCAGGATTGAAACCAACACTACTTTTAGCACCGGTTAAGCAAGAAATATTTAATAAATCATACAATAATTTTGCTTGAGTATAAAATTTATTCACCATCTCTTGCACTTCACTAGACAATTGATGATTATGGTCATCATCCATATTCATTAAATGATCATTGTAGTATTGTTGATTTGATAAATCTACAAATTGACAGCAATAATTTAACAACTGTAATATACATAATTTTATATTTGGCATGAACAATAATGCTTGTGCTTGTAAACCAGCCAGGTAAGCTTCATGTGCGATTTGAATTAATCCGATTTCTTGATCACTATGTAGACGATGAATTAAGTGTGAGTATTGTGCTTCAATTACATCGACCTGTGAGGAAGAGAAAGAAATGAAGTGCAAATATTCTGGAAGAATAATGATATTATCAGGGATTGTATGCCGATTCATCCGTAATGCAAGTGTGGATAACCCAATTTAATATATTCAATCCAGTTTGCATTTATTTCTTTACTCATTTTATTAATTACGGGTTGTATGAGTGCAATGAGAACTATGACTCACAAGTGTTACTAGTACTATTGACTGTGTAGTGGTAGTGGACAACATTTAGTATTAGCAATATGATTTAAGCAAAAAAACGATTAACTCGCGGTATAGAAAGGATAATATCATTTTAAAACTCAAAACCTTGTGGAGAACAAAGAATGAATGCATTTAGCCTTCCTGAACGATTCTGATCCATTTAACCTAACTTCTCTAACCATTAACGATAATGGTTGCATGAATTCCAACCATATACTTTAGGCCTAATGCTATGGCTCGATGTAAGTCAATGACATTTTAGAATGATGTCGTGCCTTGATTTGGTCACTTATGGCTTTTATTTAACCTATTCCTAAACCGAGTAAAATAAAATTACATACTGGACCATCAAGTGTATTTGAAAATGGAACCAGCTAGATCAGACAATTAGTACGTAACGATAATCCCCCACGCAATTGGAGAGAAATGAGGTATCTGAGCCGTCAAAATTTCAGTAGAAAAACTCTGCCTATACACCAATAACTATTACCTTCGGACACAGTCGCGAACCAAATGCGGAAGCAACAAGTCGGATATAGTACCAAAGATTAGTGAGCTAATATGAATTGAAATGTTACTGCGGACATGGCACACAAGGATATCATTTGCTAACAAAAATAAAAACAATGCTCAACATTTTGCAGTGGAACAGACGGAGGTATGATAAATTATTAGATTAAATCCATAGTGGCTCTTGTAGCGAAATGTGAAATGTGGTCAGAGGCTCCAGATGAGTGAATGCAGTATTAAAGAAAAATGGGTTGTGATATTTGCCAAGGTGGAGTAAGTAAGGAAAAAGAAGTCAGGGTTGGAATAAGGAAGGCTGTTTATCAAAACGGAGATTGCATATAGAGAGCAAAGTGTTAATAAAACGATTTCTTTTATTGTCTGATTTTTTTCATCCGATGTCTACCACACAGTGTTGATGTAAAAGTCCGAGTTAGCATGTTATAGTTTGTCTTAGTAGAATAGCTAATCCAGAATAAAATTGGAAATATGAGTCTGAATGGTAAGAGTACGAGAACAACCAGACTGAATGACTTGTTCCCAATGATAAAGGGCCTTATGCAAACAAAATGTTCTCTCCCACAAACATGAGTGGATTGAAGTCATCGCCCTCAACATCAATGATTGCTGGTCAGTATATCGGTAATTCACATGTTTTGACTTCCCTTTAATATCGAGAAAGTGTCACGCCTTACAAGCTCAATTCACCATCTGTGATTTCGGAAGATGGTCATATCTAGGTTGGGGCAACAGTTTTAAGATCAAATTGAAGTCACATGTTTCTAATTTCCACTAATTGACTCCTCAGTCATCTTGAGTAGCTTTAGAGCCACTTCGAGATTCGTTACATCACCTGACGCTTCTCGATGGCAGTAACTATTTTTGGAGTTCTAAACAAGAAAACAGCTTTGTCCACAGTTAAGGAACTTAAAGCAACTTAAAGCAACATTGCTCACACATCAGGACACCGAAGCACCCATTCGTTTCGCAGTAGATGCATCCGACTCGACAATCGTAGGTGTCTTACGATTATGGGTTGACCGCATCTAACAATCTCTGACATTCCTCTCAAGGCGATTGGTAGACACCGTATCGAAGCACAGCATTTTCGGAAGGGAACTCCAAGTCATGTATTGTGCTGTACGGCACATTCAGCACTCTGTTGGAGGTGACGAATTTACTCTTTTTATTGATCATGAACGCCTCACCTCTGTTCAAGTTCATCATTAGACAAGTGCTTTCCTCGAGAGTGTCGACAACTGGACTACATTTCGCAGTTTACTTCAAATATACAACATATTTCTCGGGTAAACAATGAATCCGAAGACACTTTATCTCGCATAACTGCCTTGAACAATTTTCATAGAATCGACCTTTTTAAACTCTCTCAGCTTCAAAAAGAATACACTGATCTTCAGCACGAGTTATCGTCAGCAATCCCAAAACTGATTGTCAAACAGATGGGAACAGGTGATGAAACCTTATTATAGGACGTATCTACAGGTGGGGCTAGTCCAGTTGTGCCGAAACATCGACGCAACGTCTACAATACGTTGCACAAACTTTCGCATACAGGGTTTTGAGTAACCATCAAGCTCATGGCAAAAAATGAGGGAGTGGGCACGCTCCTGCGTAGGCTGCAAGAAATCTGAGACGGTAAGACACAAAAACTTTCCGTTATGCTCTTTCACGACCATGATATCTGACCTAAAACAACGCGTTTTGGAAGAAGAGTAAGAATTCCAGAAGACCTGAACGATTACTTCACATAAGGCAGAACATAATATTTTGTTTTATCTCGTTATAATTATTTTTTGTATCGTTTGTGTTGAAAGAAACCAAAATAAAACATATGTTTATAGATCATTTTAACTACAAAAAACAAAACTTCATAAACCATCACGCGAAAATTGTTCCTACGCTATTGCATGTTTACGGAATGCGGACATACTGGTTTATTTTCCTTTTTCGATCGTTTCATGTCCATTCGCACTCACGAGTGTTGTCCAACATGCACTTACATATTCTTTTTTTCTTCTCCAGGACGGCCAGAAAAGACGGAAAAACCGACGAAGTTTACGAATAATCGAAATTTGCATTGTGCTTGTTTTTATTTACTACATTTTATCACATGGCACCTTGTGGTAATGAAGGACGATCTGACGCTGCCGAACATAGCAAGTTATCATAAGAGTGTTTATCAACGATGTGCTTGTTGTGTTCAAAATTCTGACTGACAACATTTTGGTGTCGATACTGCCTTACTAGTGGAGGGCGGAGTGAACGATAACGGTAAATAAATCATCGAAATCAATAGCTCCGTAGGTCTTCAACATTTTATGCTGACTGCGCTAGTTTAACTGGACAGACTCTAGATGATGGAGCTCGATCACGCATCCGTACCAGATCGCGAATGAGTACGTCGTGATACGCATCCCTTTCAGTTATTAGCCAGTTTAGACCCAAAGTTCCTCGACGTACCGATAGCCCTCCAAATACGTCTTCGAACTCCTTCATTTCTGGCTTCTAATTTGACTGGATTGGCATACTACGATTGTTTAGGTGTAAGAGGTAAAGTTGTAAAACTCCGAATACTTGTGGTATGTTCACGTGTTTTGCTAGTTGTGTAAGACTTAACTGACCCATAAATATTTAGGCCTTCTGATTTTGGCGTTTGCGAAATTCGATGTTGGCTGGAATAAGTTCTTTCACGACACATGCCAAACAGCTGGTCGTAAATCCCATAGAACTAAAGTTCCCCTACATCAAACAAAGAGTGAAATATTACTGGGTGTTTGGGGTCACGTACCTAAAGTAATATCTGGAGACACGAATAGGTCTGCCACCGCTCCAAGTACCCACTACATAACTGTCCTGAGTGTCAGGAAATGGATGACACTGCAGAGAGAAAAATCCAAGAACAGAACCTAATTAAATAAAAACTTCTAGCTAGACTCCCACTCTGAGTCGCAGAATAATTCGCCAAAGTCTAAAATTAATATATGGCTTGACCCGAACGGGGCTAGAAAAAACCAACCTCAACAAATATTATTGTCAATTAGTTGTTAGAATCAAACTACCCCGATCCATGAATGAGAAATGAGAACGATTTAAAAAAGGTCATAGCAATTCGTTGTCGCGTCATACCTACTAACTGTACAGGAGTACAGGACAAAATATTGATAATAATAGGTAAAAGGACTGTAGGGCCTGCCAAATGTTACTGAGCTCTAGCCAAGTCAGTCGGATTGGTGAATGTCGAGCAGTTCACCGATCCTCGTCATGGTCAACAGCAACTGACGCGCATCACTCAGTTACACGTTATGAATTGGCTCATGCTTTAATGGTCAAACTCTCTTTCCCGTGCCTATTCTCACCAATGTAGTTCTGTAATAACGTTTTTTATCTTCTGCAGTCATCAAAGGAGTAGTAGCGCCTGGATACAACTAAGGGGTAACCCATTTTATGTACTAGCCGGGAGGTGTGACTTTTACGATGGCTGGTTGGCCATGCTTTTTCCCTTTAACTCGGGTAAGCCCCCAGTTGTTCGAAACGGGTATCCACGTTAGTGATATTCAACACCGACGAAAATGTTGAACGTCGACCACATAGACTCTTGAAGGTAGTCCTTGGGTCGAAGAAACAGAGTGGTCTTTCATTAAATAGTGCTCAAAGTTAAGATAACACAGACATTCGAGCAAGACCTGATATTTCTCTAGAAGACAGAGTAAAGTGAAAAGAAGCACTAGCTAAACTATAAATGATTAAGAAAATCTCCGATCAGTGGGTTTTTGAGTAGTTAGGTCTTGAAAGAGGATAATACCAAAACTTGTACGAATAGGTTGTTCTCTGTAGGGGTTTTATCGATGAATGCTCATAGCCTAAGATACATTCCAAGAACTAGGAGTATTAGTGAGTGGATTAAAACCACTAATCATGGCTGTGGCAGAAATTTGGTTAGTAATTGTCTTCAACGTTACTCCAGAATAAGCCGGATACCACTACCTAAGAAGTGATAGGAACATGTAGAAAATAGGGTAGCATCCTTCTATACAAAGCTAATAACATAAATGTCCGCTCCTATGTTTGTGAGTCCCATAACGGTGGAACTTGTGAAGTCATTGGCTGTGAACTCACTGTCGAATGTCGTACATTTATACTCATTGTCATCTGCTTTAGTTCAATTTGCTTAGCTGATGACTTAATTTTAGAGCACATTCGGTTACGGAGTAAAAGGATTAGATGCCTGTTACTATGAGACTTTAACGCACCTGAAATTAATTAGACTGATATGACCACTGTAGACCCAATAAACTCCTATTACAGTAAGTTCTTGATATCGGTAATGGGTTATGCTTTAGTGCAGTACGTATCCGGACACA